GTATAAGTCACCATTAAAGTAGAATCAGAGATATAATTAAAACTGATGACAATAACGCAATTTGTACCATTGCGACTTTAAAAGCCTCTTTTATCAAAACCCGTCGAAACCATTTAGGTAGGCTTGGATGAACACTTTGAGGACCAAGCAATGGAAAGGAAATCACTGTTTTATTCTGATTCGAATCTTCCGCCCCTCCTCAGTTTGATTATTAATGTGTAATAAAAAGTCAAATGCTTTTCTGTGTTTTAATTTTGTACATTTCAATAAAAATGGTTGCCTTCTTTAACTTTATTTTTCATAAAATTCAAGATCAAGGGTAAATTTTGCATATTAGTTTAACACACTCTGTTATGCACTATAAAACTTATAGCAACAGTAAATTATAGTAATAGAGTAAATTTTTTGTAACTTTTTAGTAAAATTGCAGTAATTAACGTAGTAACGTAATTTTGTCTTGCGATTTGTTTTAATTAAATCTTTTAGACACTGCTTTATCACACTTTTTAGACCTCTAATGGAATTATATTTAAATATCCGCCGTTTAAAAAGAAATCCTTCATTTGGTACAGTACTAGGTTGGCTTTACAGCTCTAAAAACCCCTACAAAAACTTCAATTTATATATATCTATACTACTATAAAATTGAGGTGATGTTTGTTTGTCCGTCTGTCTGGGCAGCTGTCAAGACTAAAATACTAAACCGATACAGCAAACATTAAGCATAAAGATTGTCCACATATTTAGAAATGAAATAGGCTTATTCACATCCCTGAGTTCCTCTCGGGGTACGCCCATTGGATATCCAAAATTTTAACGTAAGGTTTTTAAAAGTAAATATTAATTGGTCTCCATGGAAGCATGAGAAAATTCACAATGTCTACCTTTGTGTTGTCATTTTAATGTAAACATCAGGGCTGCCAAATGTTAAATTTACAATTTCAGACACCTGATCCAAACATATTAAATATAATATTTTACACAACTATGTGGTAGGTTTATTTAGGACTAATATAAATCTTCGTCATGAATTATTTATTCTAAAACTATGTCATTGATTATAAAAATAACAAAATCTACAGCTGTTGCTGTATCAAAAGAAGCTTTCTGCTTTTAAAGTGCTGATTAAAGTGTTTAAAGTTATGAAAATAATATTATTGATATATTTTCATGTAAAAAGTAGGACAATTACAAAGTAGATTATACTTTTTTGTATAAATTTGGTGGCTTTTTTATAAATTCAAACTACTTAACAAAGTTTTTGGATTTGGCGGTATTATTATTAGTACTTCTTTCTGTTACGAAGAACGGGTACAGCAGCTAGTATATATATTTATAACTAAAAATACTTCATGAAAAAATAATCCCTATTAGAAACTTTCTAATGAGAACACATGTTAAACACTTAAATCTGAATTCTATTGAAAAGTACTACAATCAATTTTACGTATGTGTGTAAAGCTTTCAACAAAAATCATGTTTACATGACTAACAAACCCTTTCAGTGAGGTTTAAACTAATAAATGTAATATTATTTGTTCTTATTGGATTAACTATTTTTTCAATCCTTCCCAATCCCCTGATAAAATCTTGATAAACAGGGTTGGTAGAGATACGACATTTGCTGGTCCCAAAGGATGAAGGGTGAATTCTGACTTGAATTTTGATGTCTACCTCCAAGACCTCTTGAGATTTTTTGGGGTAAAATTGTTAATCAGACCCACCATAATATCCTGTATGCCGTTATGGAAACAGCTCGTATAATGGTGGAACACTAGATTAATGAATGTAACTTGTTGCAGACTAAGAATATAACAAGGTGAGTTTGATTTGGCTATATCACATTGCATTATGCTTATAAAATCATGTACGTAAACTCATAAGGAATAAAACGAAATGAATTATAGACCTAAAATGTAAGCGGGTCAATACAAATATGCATTTATTTTAATTTACCTAAAATTAACTGTCACTATAGACGAATAGCCTGCTTAAATTATCTGACTTTATCATTTAACAGCGGCCACACCGTTACATTAAAAAATATATAACTTTTAAGTATTTGTTACACTGAAAAGCACTATTGTTACAAAGCGAAGATTTCTTACAATATAGCACATATACATGGTCCTATAGTACAATATAGTCCTATCTGACCATGGTCACACACGTACTGTACATCAAGCCATCAGACCATGGTCGTAAAACTGTATATAAATATGTGTTTCGTGAACTGTGTTAAATGCTTTGTAAATTGTGACAACCATTTCTGTGGGCAATGTTGAGACCTGTGACAGCGACTGAAGATGCATTGTAATTAATGCGAAACGCGTCTCACAGGAGATAAGAATTTTGGACACCTTAGGCTACCAAAAAGGTAAAAATACTGATAATAAATAGGTGTCTAGGCTAATATCTACAAACAAAGTACATAATAGTTGAGTAAGAAATTACAAATGCAATACTTGATGATTTACAATAATACGAGTAGGAGTTAAACGAAGTATACATTTTGACTTACACACCCACAAAAATTATAGGCTACAAAAACAAACTATATTGTGTGATGCGATTGACATTATACATGGTTTTCCATAATTTACAAATTTTTGTAAAGAAATTACATGCTATATTAAAAAAAGCATCACACTTTATGTTAAAACTTGTGAATAAGTTCTGTACCATTAAATGTAATTCTGAAGACTTCTAGTTAATTTGACTGCGATTAAGTTTTGATGTAAACATTTACCTATAAAGATGGGGCACATGAATAGCATTGTCGTTGTACCTTTTTTATTAATCTTTTATGGTGGAATGATAGTCATGTAAATAGGACAACAAGTAAACAATTCAAGCATTACGTGCACATGTTCAGGAAAGCAACCGCATCCATTATAATGGTAAGTGTGCAGTTAGCACGGTGAAATACAACTTGTCCTTTAATGAAACCATACAACAAACATTATGTGCTGCAAATGGCAGTTTGTCACAGTAACGGCTCGAGTGCTTACGACATAGATGGCGATTACTGTGAATATTTTAGAGGTCTTTGATGATATACTGGCCACGAAATGACAAGGGTGAAATGATCTGCCATCGAAACATATCATTAAGTGGCATGGCCTCTATAAAGTTTTTCTTTGGTAATAATGCACAATCGATGTCAGAAGTGTGTGTAGGTAAATATACATTTGGGATGTTTATTTGTGTTTAGCTTCCTAAAAGTGGTAAAAGAATATAATTGAAATTTGGATATGGTTCTATTACGTGTATTCTAAAAATTTTGTTTTTTTTATTTCAGATATGTCTTTTGATTATGTATTCTAAGAGCATATAATTTTACAGAATGTAGTTTTTTTTTTTTTTTTTTTTTAAGAGGTTGGCGGCCTTTTTTAACCTTTCGTTTGCCTATCCACATAGACTAACGTCATGCGTGGAACGTATCCAGCAAAGCAAGGGGTGAGCCGGTACAGTACAAAGATGAACTGTACTGATATTTTTTTTTGCGGCAGTGACCAGGATCCGAACCCACGACATCGCTGCTTTGGGCTCGAAGTCCTGACGCTACCGACTGAGCCACCGACTCACCATACAATAGCTAAATATCAGTAAAATTTAAGTAAAGACTAATGCAGCGATATTACAAATTTATTGTTCGATAAATCTGAACTGGAACGCAGTAGAAAGTATGTCCAGTCTTGGTAGTACAGTATATTATAACATCGAAAAGTATCTCAATTTTTATTTTTTGCAAAAATATACTACCCTATATAAAATTTTAAAGTTTTAATTACTTCAAAAATCTGTACTGTTACTAGAACATATCCATAAACCAAACTAAACCCGTAAGCCATTACAAAATATTTATCGTTATGTTGTGCCAAAGTAGGTTACGGGAGCGCAAGCATAAATTAGCTTATCACAGTTAACTACTCCACATACACAATATTCACTAAGTTAAATTGTTGTGCATTTATAAAACCGTTAACTAAAGATTACATCAGAGAAACACTTATCACGTAGTATGGTTTTTGTCGTTTGATAAGATTTGATCGATGATTAGTCATGAGTCATTTAAACAGTAAAACATAGCCAGGTGTATTGTAAACATCATAGTGGTACATTTTATGTAGTTCTTCTTTCACTCACGAGGTAGGTTTTTGGCTGCTAAATTTTAGTTTCATATCGACTATATACGTTCAAATACTAAGTGATATATTTGTCTGTCTTTGCTATCAATAATCTAAAATTGAGATTAATATAGCTAATATAGACAATTTGTTTATCGTGTAGTCTAGCATTATTGAAAAAATGTAAATTTAGAAAAATGTATATTTAGAGATACACGATGTTTTACATTGAAATATAGACCTAAGATAGGGTATTATAACGCTATTATTATCGATATGCAAACCTATTGCAATAATAGGGCGTTCATGCATTTGGTTTCATGGAATCGTATACTTTAGGAATGACTCTATAATTTATAACTGTAATGTAAAAAAAAAAAACATTAAAATCGAGAATTAATTTTTGACAAAAAGTCGCATGCTTGGGTTTCTAATGAAATAAACCACTGAGCCACAACATTCATAATGGTTTTTTTTAGAATTGAACTTGTATAAAAATTAATGGGAAATCGGTAACAATTTGCAAACAAATACCACGTTTTAAACAGATAAATGTGCATTATGTATGCACAAATGAGTGTAACAATTTTAAGTGTGATTATTTTTGTTACACCATTGATGTAAACAGTTCTATACTTCTGAGTATCCAGGCAAAACAATATAGCTTGTATTATTCTATAAAATACAAAATACAGCAATATATTTCCATCAACTTGTTTTGCCCAACACCGGACTTGTACTGCTCAATTAACCGTACAAACATTGGTTTCCAAACAGATTACACCATAACCGAATATTAATCACCCATTCGAAACATCATCCTCATCAATGCAGAAAGTCAAAACATATTGAATTTCGCAGATAACGAAGATGTACGATTGGCTGGTGATGAGCTTGTCAATCATCGCTTTGACTGGACGTTGCCGCTGTGGCGAGATGGAGAAGATAGAGTGGAACGTGGTCAAACTGGGAGGCAAAGACCTGTGCAACACGAACCTCATGGTAGCTCTCGACTCTCTGAGGAAAAGAAGAGTCGTCGGATTGCCAACAGACACTGTCTACGGCTTCATCGCAGACGCTACTAGACCTCGTCCAATAGAAAAACTCTACAACATCACAGGACCACTTTTCAAAGACGATCCGATCACGATTGCTGTAGAAGACATCACTCAGTTGTCTTTGTACGCGGACATTGACTATTTGGACCGAGGCATGATCGGACAGCTTCTTCCAGGAATGGTGACAGTGATTTTCCGAAGACGTCCAAATGTTCTTCCCTACGTGAATCCCAACCATGAAGTCTTACCTGTCAGGATACCTGGGAAGAAGGGGAAAATCTTTTTGCGGAAAGTTATAAAAGATTTTGGAGCACCTGTTGCACTCGTGGGTGCAAGGACTGTACCGAGGCCACATAGTAGAGTTATAGAGGATCTAGAGGATATTAGACTGAACGCGTACGTTGTGTATGACGGGGGCAAGTTGGAGCGGCGCAGGATGGAAGGAAGTACGATAGTCGACCTCAGTGTTCCAGGAAGATACAAGATCCTGTGGCCAGGATGTGTCGAGAATGCTGTGCTCAGTGTGGTGGCTCGGTATGAGCTGGAGGAGTGGACGGAAGGACCTAACATCACAGTGTTCAACCCTACCTAGCTTCCTGATTGGATGCGTCCTGGTATTTCGCTGATGAGGGAACATTTCCCTTGTTAATTCTCTCGGATGAAGATTGAGGATGTGTTGAGAGTAAGTCTCATAGGTAGGTAATGAAAATGGTGAAGATGAAGAGGAAGGAATGTCTTAGTAAAATATTTGTCCAATGAGTGTGTACGTGTGTACAGTACGATTATCAATCAGGTTTCAAATTACAACACCTAAATGTAGGGACCAGCAGAAACCATTCTAATAGGTACTGTGTTAATAACGTTCAATTTGCTTTTGTAAAATGGTAGAAACATTAGATACTAATGGACGATTCTAATTAATCATATTAGAATTTTCCTATAACCATTATGCCATACAAAACTCACGAGTAATGACTAGACTATCGTGTAATGATAGTTAAGTAAACATTACAAGTGCTATGGTGGATACCACATCCCCACCTTCCCGTGTAATGATAATAAGTAGGGGGCGTGTCCAGTATTGTTCTACTGACACAGGATTGTTTAGCAGATTATGTTGACACAAGTCTCTTTACAAACAATAGACCCCTGGCCGAGTAGCCGCTCCCTACAGTTAATCCTACAAGGGTCAAATGTTATGACTGACGTTCAACTATGCAACTAAGGGCATATGCTAATTTATGTTTTGTGTTTCTAAGATTTACCTCATATCATGTTTTATTGGTAAGGACTGCCAATATGCAATGGATATGCTGTTTATGTATGAAATCTATGTTTCTTATAATTTGTATTTAAATGAGATTGTATTTTGTATTTTTATATATGTTTTGTATGAATATAAAAATAACGCTGTTTAAAATGATGTTCAACTCCTATTATTTATAGGGCATATATAATATGTTTATAGAACAATCTAATTTTAGAAATCTTCTAGAGGATGTAATTATTAAATAATAGGATAATTAGGTGCAACATTTCAATTAATTATTTAGCCACAACATTATTTGATAACAGTACTCATCAGTAACATAACTAATAACATTATTAGAGTAGGAAAATTTTAAATTGATATAAAAGGTAGGTTGAAAAAGAGTTGTATGTTAAATAGTTAAACCAATTGACCAGTGTAAGCATTGTAAAAGTTTTCAAGGCCAATGTAAGTTTGTGCCACTCGTGGAATTAAAATATTCCCAAAAGTTTGATTGATTTTTATGGTAAAAACCCAAGCTATCTTCGTACATGGTATTGTAACAAACGCAAGACATTAAAACAATTATATAAATAGAGCAAACAATAATAATGCAACTCCATAGTGTTAATCTATCCCAACAATTAATTACAAATACTCCTCCGTGGGTTCCCAGAGTAACCAATCAGAATTCAAATTGATAAGTGAACGCTTTTCGGCGCAGTTTACGAGGGAAAGGATGTAGTCTGTGGACATTAGCACTCATTAACATACCGTTCTTATCAATCTCTGGGAAAGATATTTGCCCTTAATGACGAAATTGTCTGCATGCCGCGACCTGGGAACTCGGCGTACTGTTTGAAGAATGCCGATCACATAAAACGGCCAAACAAATCCACCTGTATCGGTACATTTTACTGCCCAGACGACACGTTTGGAGAGCTTTGTACGGTTTTATTTGCCTTTAAACCCCTGTAAACACGGTTGTACGGTGGTTTTCGTATTCAGTATATTTTGTATAGTAAATAGCTGTGTTTGGTGCGCTGTAAGATTATAGTTTAATTTCTTTTATCAATTTTATTGTTGTTGGAGGTATAACGCTTTATTGGGGAAATTTGATTGTGATCTGAAAATCTATATCTATATCTATATTCTATATACTTATTTAATACGCAAGCAGGTTTTTTGTGACAATTACTCCTCCGAAACTACTGAACCAATTGACATGTTTTTGGTGTCATTGGAAAGAGCGTAACGTGAAGTTGTGCAGGAAACATTCTTTTTGAGGAAATAATTAGAGAGTGAGGCCCTGGGGCCCTTTAAAGTTTCGTATTTATCCATAAGATTAACACGGAAAACAAAATTTGTTATGGAACTCCAGCTGTTGTCAGAAATTAAGAGTGAAATATTTATTGATGGTATCCATGGTAACAAAGAACAAACCCACAAAATTTAAAAATGTAAACAAGCAGAACTAACTGTGAAATTAATTTTAATTAAACATGTGGTAAGAAACCTTACTAATCTTAAAAATAGATTCACTAAGAAACCCATGTCTATTTTCTTTGTAGATTTGGAACCTAACGCTCAAAACAAGGATATATTTGAGATCCAGTTTTTGTTAAATGCTAAGGTTTCATTTGAACCACCTAGAAAGAAAAAAGAAGTTGTTCAATGTAAACGTTGTCAACAGTATGGCCACATCAGATCCTACTGTCACAACGACTTTCGTTGTGTAAAATGCACACAAAATCATGACACTAAAGTCTGTCCTAAGCCCATATCAGAGCCTCCAACCTGTGTATTGTGCTCCGGAAAACACCCGGCAAATTACAAGGGTTGTCCCGTATACAAGGATGCTCAAAATAAGCAATTCCCTCCCCTTCGGCGAAAAACTCCTGAAAAAACTCAGGAACACACAGGTGACCGAAACTCTAGTGTCCCCGGTAAGAGCAGTTTAATAACTGAAGGTATTTCGTTCGCACAAGCTACAAGAAACAGTTATGAGGGCTGTGACTCGAGAAAGCAAGTCGAAGTCACAGAACAAGAAGCAGGTTTGTCATTCATAATCCAAGATTCGTTTGCTCGCTTCGAAAGTATGCTATCGAAGCAAGCGGAACAGATTAATACACTTCTTAATCTGTTAACAACAGTCATTTCTCGTTTAAAATGAATATTGTTCTCAAAATTGCTCTTTGGAACGCTAATGGCTTGGCTCAGCATGGTCAAGAAGTTCAATTGTTTATTAATAATCATAAAATAGATGTTTTGCTTATTTCTGAGACTCATTTTACAGATAGAAGCTATTTTAAAATTCCAAATTATACCTTATACTCTACAAACCACCCTGACAATACAGCTCACGGAGGTAGTGCCATATTGGTTAAAAACTGCATAAAACATCATGAAATTCCAGGTTTTAGGGAACAGTACCTGCAAGCTTCAAGCATTGTTCTCGAAGACATGCAAGGACCTCTTACTCTTTCTGCAATTTACTGCCCTCCAAGACATGTTATAGCTTATGAACATTTTGACAGATTTTTTACTACTCTAGGGACTAGGTTCATCGCTGGAGGAGACTATAATGCCAAGCATCAAGAGTGGGGTTCACGCTTGGCCACACCAAGAGATCGACAGTTGCTGAGGGTAATTAATGACAACACTCTAAATCATATTTCAACAGGTGAACCTACTTATTGGCCGACTGATATGAGGAAAACTCCTGATTTATTGGACTTCTTCATATCAAAAGGTATTAATCAAAACTACACTAATATCCAATCAAGTCTCGACCTATCCTCTGACCATTCACCGATAATATTGCAAATCAGCACGCAAGTCTTTCATCAAAAAAGACTGAACGATTATACAACAAGGGCACTAATTGGGACCTTTTTCGTCAAGAAGTAAACAAAAATTTAAACTTAAAAATTCAATTACAAAGCAATCAAAATTTAGAAGACGCCACACAACATCATAATTCATAACATCATAAGCAATAGCCCAGTCAATGAATGCAATAAAACACCCTTTTTCGCAACTAAATGGTGGAAAGCTGGATTTTGTATATGTGATAGAACCACATGAGAGGTGTATTTTCCCAAAAGTCCCCACTTCTACCCCTTGAGCTTTCCCCCCCACCCCCCTCCAAACATAGAAATTGCAGTGTCTTACTTAATTGATCATAAGTCGAATACTATGTAAGCTATCGAGCTGCGATTTGTTTCGTTTTGTTTCTGGATAGTTGTCCTACAACTTTTGTATTTATAACATTTTTCTTAAACCAATACTTAAGGAGATATAAAATTTAAACTTCGTTAAAAGCTTTGTTTCAGAGTGAAAAATTTGGTTTTGATATATGTATACTTATAATTAGAAATAATACGCAAATATGGTTCAAACAAAAGTTTTATTACGTTTTTCAAGGTTTAAAAATATATTATTGGTTAGTCATCTAGGTGACCGGGTGAAGAGCTGGGCGTTGGCAAAGAGAGCGCGTGCGGGCTAGTTGAACACCTCTGCGCTGCGTCATCGCATCTAGCCTAGCCAAAAAACGCACAAACTGCCTTTTTTCGTAGCTAAATAGCGGAAAGCTGAGTTTGTTATAAGTGATGGAACCACTTAAGACATGTATTTTCAAAAAGTTCCCGATTCTCCCCTTGAGCTTTCCCCCCAAATCCCTTCCAAACCTGGAAATTACAGTCGTTCACTTTACTGGATATAATTCAAATTCTACGCATTCCATCGTAGTGAAATTTGATTTGTATTATTTATAATTAGTTTATCCGAAATTGTTGTACTAAAAGTTTTCTTATAAAATTATATCCAAAGAGATATAGCATTTTAACTTTTTTTATAATGTTTATGTTTTAGAGTACACAATTTTGTTTTACCCTCTATATATATTTTATCGAAATAAATTACGCAAAAAGTGTCAGAAACAAAATTTAAGTACCTATGTTTAATAAGGTTTATAAATATATTTTTATATTTGGTTAGTCAACAGAACGAACTGATGTAGTGAGGGCGTCAGCAAACAGAGCGCGTGCAGGCTTCTTCAAAGCATCCGCGCAGCGCAGCCTTGCCCGTCGATGCATCGCGTCGTAGGCACCGACATCGCTAAGTTCTCAAAGGTTGTGGTTGTATACAAATGCTAAGGCTTTGTACTTTGTACTTTACTACCAAAAAAATCTGTATCCAAGCTTAACCGTGAACTGCAAAAACAATTATTATTTAGATGGAACCCAATCATTTGCTTTATAATAACCAGTTTTGGTTCAGGTACATTCATCTCTACCTACTTACTCGTTATACTTGCAATACCTGTAATACTTGATTTCTTCATCTTTGACCGATGAAAGTTTGATAGATTGAGGTATAGAACACTAGGCCTAATAAACACTTTAAAAATCACTTTAAAAAACATACTCTTTGCTCTTCCTTGCATTACAATGTGCTTTCCATTATC